CCGGTCAAACGGTAACCGGTTTAACCGGTTACCGACCGTTTAGCACCCCTATTGAATAGTATGGATTTTAAATGGCTTGATTATAATGAATTTTGATCTATGGTGATATTTTTTTCCTTTTTCATCAAGACTATTATGCTTCTTTTATTCCCCCAGTGAATCTATCATGCTTCGTTTATAGTAAATATACCCTTTTAATTACACACAATAAATAATTCATTAATTATGTAAGCCTTTTTATTGTATTTATTAATACAATAAATTCTCTCACTAAAAGGGGAGTTAATACATCGTTGGTGGAAATTCAAGCAATGAAAGCCTTTCCATATCCTAGGAACATTAAATTAATTACCTAAGAATTTTCTATCTGCCTTCTAAGGGTTTTCGTCATTAATTATGTTGATTGGGAGCCAATCAGTTTTACTTTTTGGGTTAACCAGACATCAATGCAAATTTAATTAGACGAGAGCAATTGGGAACGAAGTGGAATTATATTATCTCAATTAGACCTCTCTACAAGATACAATGGCTTGAAACAGAAGCAAAATCACTCACAAGCTGGAAGCTGGAATTTTGGTTAAGTCCCTTTGCCATTTCGGGTAGCTCACTTTGGAAGCTTGTTCGTCACACATGGCTCAATGAAAATGGGAGTTTATTGATTTGTATTGAACCTGGGATGTTTGTAAACACCTGGGATTACTTGGGAGCTGGAGATCGAGTCCAGAAGGCCCCTTTTCAGATTTTGCAAAAGTGTAACTGGAAAGCTGGAAATTGCCAGTTTTTTGCTAAGGTAGAATCCAGGTTCAAGCTAGCTACTTTGAGACTCGATTCGGAAGGGATGGCTGCGAGTTGAGTTCTACTATTTGAACCACATCAAAATACATGATTCAGAGTACAACTTCGAGGAATTGGTTGAGTGATTTGAACCTTGGAAGCCTTCGAACGAAGAGTCCAAAGATCGCGTTGAGGCTTCATTTTTTGACGTTGGAAGCAAGTAATCCAAATCCTTGTAGGACTAGGATTCCTAGACTATTTTGCGTTTGAGTTCTTTCCTTGTTTGTTTTGGGTTCTATTTCGAGTTGTAATAGGATTAGGACGTCTTACCTTGTTCTGTAAGCTAGCTAGGTCTATTTAAGAGTTGTTTTGCGTTGTAATTCATTCAAGTTTTAATCGAATAAACCCATTTTTTTCATTGAGTTTATCTCGTGAATTTGTCCTTGGTTTGATTGGATTAATTCCATCAATCGAGCGAGCTCTGCATCAATTGAGTAGCCACCTCAATTGTGGATGAGTTGCGACTTGCCTACTTGGCATAGGGTTTAAATGAAATTTGTTATTGAAGAAGACCCCAATAGCGTACTTGCCTACTTGGCATAGGGGTTTAAAAGCAAACTCCTTTCCGAAAAGTCAATATAGTTTCCACGAAAAAACAAATATAGAAAGCATTCACCAAACTAAAAATGGTTGCCCATCATCTTAAAAAACGAAACATAAAATGGTTGTCCATCATCTTGAAAAACAACGCAAAATCAGGTTGTCCTTGGGCTCTTCGACTGGGTTTCCTTGTGCTCTTCTCTTTCCTTTTTCCTCCTTTCATGGGCTTTCTTGTACTCTTCGACTGCAACTTCAAGTTGAGGTGCAACTGTTCTTGCTTCTGTGAGCACCGTATGCGTTATGTAGTTCATGGGCTCTCGAACAAGGTACAAAGCGATCTGCATCCTCCTCACTTGAGTGCATGGCTACCAACATCAACAACCATGGTGCTTAACGCATGATTCAAAAATAACAAACAAGTGTGGTTTTCAAATATGCGAACTAGAATTGTCTTTACCCAAATATAAGAGGAGTCCCAGCTTGCGCCATACATCCACATGAAGACCCAGACTCCACTGTTAGACCTACATAAAATGAAAGCATTGCATGATAAACAAGTTGATAAGTCATCGTTTAATATCACGCAAAATGGGCATACTTACCGATGTGTACAAAAACTCCGCAATCCTTGGTGGCGACAATTCCGGACCTTGTTCACGATAGAGAGTCTTCCACAAGGCTTGCATAAATCCCATTTGTACAAATTAAGAAACATTTGTATTGAGAAAGAGGTATTTACATTTTTTTGCTTTATAACGGCACAATGTCACAAATTTACCATTGTGTGAACTGCTTGTAGTCGAAATGAATTGCGGTCTTCTATTGCTTGTGGATCCAAGATATGGACTTCTTCCTTGTCCAACTTAATGACAGCCAAGTACCAGTGGGCATTATCCCTCATCGGAACACACCTACATATGCAGAAATTGTCAACATGTATTAAAAAAATAAACTGCAAACCATGTAATACTTATTAAAAAACCAGAGGAGGACCGTACAAAGTAGAGCAAGATGAACAGTTTACCTTGTTCACCATATTGGCTCGACTAAAGAATTTGGATTCGTATAGGTCTAATGCCCTCTTGGGTGTTATTCCACATGAAATCACTAGTTGTTAATCAAAGTAGGAAGATCATGATATAATAGTATAACACTGATTTAATTCTTATCGTAGTAGTAAAATCATGACACGATACCATCGCGGAAACGAAGTGTCCTAGCAGTGTAAGAAACACACTTCACTCCACAAATCATTTATTGACATATTCTTTTTTTTATAACAATACCAATGTTGTCAGAACCAAGCCGGAGCATGACCCGGTAATGCGAATGGCTCGCACTTTAGTGGTCCAATCGGCATTAGACCGGTTAAAATCCGTTAGAGAACTAGTACCTAATAAACGTTATCAGTATAAATAGTCAACATTTCTTAATCAGAGCTCGTCTCTTTCCTCGAAATTGTGAAATGGAAATAAGGATTCAGTTTGAGAGCCTGGCGCTTTTGGTTTATTTCAATTTTCAAATTTTTGCAATTTTTAAATTAAATTTAACGGCTGAATGGTAAAAACCGGACGAGCGCCTCGATCGGCTCGAGCGGTTAACCGCCTCGGCCGCTCGCCAACCACTACATAAAATCGGAGTGGGTTTTAGACTGTTCCAATCCGGTTTTTTGACCGGGTGGCGGTTTCACCGGTCGGGCCGAGCGGCTTGGCTCGGCTTTAATAACACTGAACAATACGTCCAACTGACATTAATGGTGTACTTGATTAATATGACCGACAGTTTTTTCACCAAATCATAACTAATTTGCAGGAGAAAAAAAAAATTATTTCAACCAGGCGGAGAGAGTGTAATAGGGTGGGTGCTTGGAAGGAAAATGGGTAAATTATGTATAATAGTGTCCCACTTCTGGAGATGATAGAGTGGACACTACCGAGAAAGACCACCAAGAATCGACATCAGAAACGGTTTGCCCCTGGAATGCTCCAAGTGATGAGTGTAGAGAACAAGAGGCTTAACGCTGAGATGGAAGAGCGATCTCCAAGATCCTACAAGAAAGATTTTCAGTGGACTCCTGGTACCTCTTCTGAAACTTAAGCTAGAGAGGAATTATTAGAGAGAGAGAGTTCAACTTAACTTCTGACAATAAAGATTTAACAAATGGAACGAGTTCAACTCACCAAGGAGTGTCGGCGGCAACCCTAGCTAGAAGAATTTGAGGAGACGGAAGAGAGAGGACATAGATCAATTTGAAAAGGAAATTAGAGAGAGGGGTTGTATCAACCACTTCATTTATCCCTTGTAAAGAAAAAGGAAATAAAAAGAAATAAAATAATCTCACGGAAACAATCTAAACTAAAAACTGAGATGTTATCAACTATTTAGATGTTATTTTCAATACAATGTCGTCCAAAGTGCAGGCGGGCTGAGTAGTTTTTGACAAACTTAGTTAATCTTTGCCTGTTAATCTCCAGGATCGTATCAGAACCAATCGGGTAGAATGCAGATGCATCATAAACTCATAAAATGGTATGATATGAAACCTGAAATACTAGACTGCAGTCTTTCACTTAGCTTCCCCGGAAAACACAGTTCACTCCTTTAATGCTGAAGGAACTCTTATTATTGTATTACTCATTTGCATCTTTAGTATTATCATTAGGAAGCATTACCATAAGGCCTCTGCTCAGACAAGAGTAGTTCAGTCGACAGTTGGTGCTTTTTCTTGACAAGCTTTTCTATATACAGATTAATTATCATTCTGCAGACTATAGGAGCTATGGTGAGATAAATTTGGTCTAGAATGTGCGCAACTCATGCTAGCTACCTGGGCTTCCTATGCCATGGTTGCATATTTTCTGTTCATAATGTTAGGGTTGCAATTAATATTCAAGTTCATGTAACTTCTCCTGTTGGATTGTTTCCTTGCATCGGAGCAAATAAGTAACTGACTTCCTTTAATTTTCATGGTTTTTCAAACTACAGCGAGTTGGTTAATTAAACCACCAAGGTATTTGATCGTATCCATATTCCTTGCATATACTATATAGATCTTTTGGGAAAATTGTCTTCTATTAGTCTACCAAAAATTGTTCAAAACAACCTTGCTCGAAACTCTTTTAATTTAATTAGAGGATTCATTTCATTTGTTGTTTTGCACTAAACTACATCACTCATATGTGTTATTAACATGATCAGGACATGAAAGCGCTCGGCAACATCACAACATAAGAAGGTTTTCCTATAAAGAAGTGAAGAACATAGGTGTTACTAATAAACAGAAATGTTAGTCCCGGCCGAAGGTCGGGCCCAAAGGGGCTCAGATAGAATAACAACACTCTTAGTGTTGTTATTATAACAACAAAATTCATTAAGGGTAAAAGGGTAAATTAGATAGAAAATAATAACATAAAGTTAATTAAAATTCACTATCAGATCTATCTCTCACCATTGCGACCCTTCTCCTCCGCCGCCCCATCTTCTACCCGGATGCGATCGACTTCTCCGCGGCCGAGATCACCACCACCCGCAGCAGTACCGCCAGGTACCCAATCAGAAATTCTAGGTCCCGGGCACGCGCAGCGGCGCCGCCGCTTCTTCCTCCACTGCTACAGCTCCCGTCTTTCCTACCCTAGCTCCCCTCAAGTCACCCGATTCCGACCTTGCCACCAATTTCTCGGGTCGCAGCTCGACCCGGGTCGTCTCCAAGTTCCACCTGGGTCGACCTAAGTCAACGGCGGGCTCCCGCCACACTCCAATCTCCGAGTAGGCTCTCCGCCAGGTGATGAGGTCAGGTAAAGATGAATTCTCTGGGTTTGGTTGGTTCCAAGACTTTCTTGGTTTCGAAGGTAGGTCTTTTATCCAAATGCAATCGCTCACTGCTGGTTCTGTGCAGAGAATGGTGACTTCTATATCCTCTGATGCTGCCATATGGGATGCTGTTATGAACAACGAGGTGGTTAGGGAGCTTCGGCACGCTTACTATCCAGGTAGGCAATCAATAGAAGAAGCATTTACAATTTGACATAAATAAAATACTACTTCTCCATGGTATGGCATGGCTGCAATGCCAGGAAGGAAACCCTTCATGATAATGGCCGACAGTACAAAAATACATACAAAAATATGTGTACACTTTCTCTGCATTGATTAGTGCTTACTGGAACCTAATCGAATTGCATACAACACTCTGCTTGTTGTATGTAGTAGAGGAGGTTTATGGGATGCAGCGAGAAGTTTGTTCAGTGAAATGGAAAGCAGAGGGATCCAACGGGATTTGCATACTTATAATATCCTTCTGGATGCTGCTTGTAAAACTGGGCAATTAGATATAGCTTTGAAGATTATGTCTGAGATGCCTGGAGAGAAGATGTTTCCAAATGTCGTTACTTATAGCATTATGATTGATGGTTATGCTAAAGCTGGTAGATTGAATGATGCCCTGTTGTTGTTTAATGAAATGAAAATTAAGGGGATTGAGTTGGATAGAGTTTTGTACAACACATTGCTCTCGGTTTATGTTAAGTTTGGTAAACTTGAGGAGGCTCTGGACGTCTACAAGGAGATGCAAACTTTTGGATTTGGACGAGATGTTGTTACTTATAATGCACTCATAAACCTGTCATCCACAAACACGGTAAAACAATCCACAAAGAGCGTACCAAAAAACTCCCAATCCATACCACAAATCCCCTAAAACAAACCAAAAACCCCACAAAGCATACCACAAATATTCCGAAAGCACACCAGAAACCTCATAATGCAAACCACAAACACGGTAAAGTCAATCACAAACCTCCTAATGCAGACCAAAAATATATTAAAACAAACCAGAAACCCCACAAATCAAACCATAAAATTTTCGAAAACACACCATAAACTACTTAATGCAAACCAGAAACACAATAAAGCAATCCAGAAACCTCCGAATGCATACCACGAATCTCCTAAAACAAACCACAAACCTCACAAAGCAAACCACAACATTTGCTAAGCACACCAGAAACCTCCTAATGCAAACCGCAAACACAATAAATCAAACCACAAAAATGCAAACCAGAAACCTCCTAATGCATACCACAAATCTCCTAAAACAAACCAGAAACCTCGCAAAGCAAACCACAAAATTTTCGAAAGCACACCAGAAACTTCTTAATGCAAACCAGAAACGTCCTAATGCATACCAAAAATATATTAAAACAAACCAGAAACCTCACAAAGCAAACCACAGAATTTTAAAAAACACACCAAAAACCTCATAATGCAAACCACAAACACGTTAAAGCAAACTACAAAAACAAACCAGAAACCTCCTAATGCATACCACAAATCTCCTAAAACAAACCAGAAACCCCTCAATGCAAACCACAAATTTTTTGAAAACAAACCAGAAACTTCTCAATGCAAACCACAAACACGATAAAGCAAACCAGAAACTTCTTAATGCAAACCACAAACACGATAAAGCAAACCACAAAAGGCATACAAAAATATGAGAAACCAAACCATAAATCTCACAATCAGACTATAACATCCGGTGGTCGTTGGCCGTTGACCGGTCAACGAAGACCATTGACCGGTCAACGAAGTTCGTTGACCGAACTCCGGTGACCGTCAGTGACCGGATTCCGGCGCCGATAAGCATATTCCGGCCCCGATGACTAAATTCCGATGCCGGTAAGCATATTCCGACGCCGGTAAGCATATTCCGGCGACGGTGAGCATATTCCGATGACAAAATAGCATATTCCGGCAACAAAAAAGCATATTACGGTGACCGGCGACCAGATTCCGGCGACCAGTGGCCGAATTCGGGCGACCAAAAATTTGGGCAGAAAATAAAAAATATTTTTTTTATTTTTTTATTTTTATTTTTTTATTTTTTTTTATTTAAACATATTTTTCATAATGACAATTATACCCCTGCTTTGATTTTACACTAGGTCAACTCATCTAATAAAAAGTCATCATAATCCTAGCTTCCTATTGGTTGGAGGCTAGTGTTGTTACAATAACAACACAAAGGGTGTTGTTATAGTATCTAGTCCCGGCCCAAAGCTAGTGCTTATTCTAACATGTTTATTCACATAGAATTGGTAATTTTAATTGCTAAGATATAAATTTTAATAAAAGGCATGTTTTATAATTTTTCTAAAATACCGCGGGACATGTTTGATATAAAAAATAGTAAAGGGCATGTTTGATAAAACAACGTAAATGATCATCTAGATAATAAATAAAAGCCGAATGATGAAAACTGTTGCTCCATTTCAAATTTCCTGCAACGAGAGTGATTATAGGAAGGATATTTTGGTCTTCACAATTACTTATTTTCTTCTTTATTTATTCATAAAAAAGGAATGCACTGGGATTTGAACCTTGGTTTCTTTAAAGGCAAGCAAGGATCATAACCAATAACACTAAGTATATTTGTTGTATCTATTTAAATTCAAACATACACGAACCTTAATTATGAAAATCATATGACTTTTTTAACGATTAGTTGGCCACTGAATCTCCCGTAAGTACTTATTTGGTGTTTTAATACTTTTATTATTTTAGTTGTAGTTTAATACTTAATTTAAATTTCTATCTATTTTATAAATATATGATAACCTAAAATTGCAGCCCAAATATCACTGGTTCGAATATTGCATATCGAATTGCAATATTAAACATGTAGAAGCAATATCGACTTCTTAAATTAGTATTATCTACACATCATATAAATGTGAAATGAGAAAAGAGGGATTCCATTTCAAATTTGATGCGTACAGAGCAATTTTTTAGGGGTAAATTTAGAAGATGCCAGTGTGGTCGGTCTGTTGAGCACGAAAGTAAAAATATGTTTTCATTTAAACGGGCCCAAAATGTTATTTGGCCCACTAATCGTGCACCCATCGCCAATGCAGTCAAATTCGGGATTTTGATCGTAAAATCGTAGGATTTTAGGATTTTACTTAGGGATTCCGATCTTGATTTTACTATAAAATCGGTGGACCTTAAAATCGTTTAAAATCGTGACTAAAATCGTTAAAATCGTAAAATAGTACCGAAATCGGGATTTTGATCGTAAGAGAACAAAATAGGTGGTTTGAGCCAATTTAAATTAAGTATAACTGTTTCAGCGGAAAGGGCAATGGAATCTTCTCAGATATTTTTTCTATTAGAAAAATATTCAAAAATAATAAAAATAACCAAATTAGGGTTCGGTTAATCTCTTTCCCTTCACCCCATTTAACTTATTGGTAAAACACCTGTCCTAATATTGGAAGTATGTAAGAACTAACATCATTATTAACTAATTAATTTATTAATGAATATATTTGTACCAAGCCACTAACATTACTTATTTTATTGGAGTTCAATTATTTTTAGTTTTAAATCATACTTAGTAGACGATGTCGAAATATTACTTTGAGTTAAACAACCTAGACATAACATGAAAATAAGAGCCAAACCCATGAACTATATCCCTTCATCATGAATTATTTTGAGTTACACATTAAATAACAATTAAAATAGTGATTTTGGAACATTAATCTTGAGAATTATCTTATGGAAAAAAAATCTTCTGAATTATCATTTTAAATGCTGTGTCTTTGTGATATTAATAATTTACCTTATTAATATTCTTATATGCTATGTTCTATATGGTCTTAAAATCCTACGATTTTACGATTCGATTATACGATTTTGATTTTACCCCAGTTTTCGATTTTAGGTAAAATCCCGATTTTAACTGCTTTGCCCATCACAGCCTCTCCAAATCTTCCTATTCTACTCGCCGGGTCATCTCCTCCAGTACAAAATATCTCCTCATGTACTCAAAGTTCTCACTGAAACCTAATATCTACAACTTAGGCGCAGAGGGAGCAACCGATGGATTGTAGCGACCCCCACTATTTTGATAGCTAATCAAGAAGAGCGCGTTTGTTTAGTTGTATGGTGATTCACTTAATTAACAATTTTTTATTCCGTTGACATCCTCCTCTCCGCAATTGTATTGTGTTCACGAAGATTTGAAAGCGCAAGTGCAACAGGTCCAGGGGTAAACAATATGTATAAAGCGTTGGCCAAATTGAATTGAGTCAGTCTACTTGGAATATGAAGATTTTTGCTTAATTGCTTTGGTTCGTGATGCAACTATGTTATGTTTGAAGGTAGACCAACGCAAACAACAGCACAGCTCCAGGGCTATTCTGCACATTAGGTAGTTGGGGCATTAATTGATAATTATTTGGGATTATTCCTACAAGTACATAATTTGGAACGTGCCTTTATATTGTATTGATTAATAGTTGTTTGAGATTTTTCAAATGAGTGATTTGACATGTTAAACTCTCTTATTTTTGAAAATGGAGCCTTCGAAGTGGAATATGAAGATTTTGGATTAAGCTTGGTTTCGTAACGCCCTTATGGGTGTTTATTCTCTAAAATGCAGCTGTCTTTCAAAGTGCCCATTGCAAATGGCAAGTCAGGATACAACGATGGTACCGGTACACGTTTATATCATTAGTAGGTAGCAGATTGTGTCCATTCTACTATATCATTTAGCTAAATACTTAGTTGTTCTTTTCAACTAAAAATTATGCTTAAATGTTGTGATTGGCCTCAGAAATGTTTGTCTTTGCATTAACTGTTAATGATTGTGAGTTTTGGTTTAATGGTGAAAATTCCATTTATTTAGAAGTCTAAATTGGGCAAACCTATTGGACAATAGGAATGGCATACATTAGTTTCGTGGGAGGTTTGTTTGATGTCTTAGGGTGTTAGATTTTTTAGAAGGTTGTTTGTTGTGGCAGAGAGTCAATAAAGCTAGCGAGTTATTCCTATGTGGGCTTTTTCTTTGTTTGACTTTTTCTCGCCTTTTTTCTTATCTCTTTTTCTATTTTTGGTTTTTGTGTGCTACCTTCAGTTGCTAGGTCTTCATTTGTGAGCCATCTATACTTTTCTTATTCAGTGCCTAAAAATCATATATACTCGATTGCATAGTAGTTACTAATAGATACATTTATACCAATAGAGAGATTTTAAGTTTTATCAGTTGTTAGTTTTAATATTTACTTACATTGGTTGTTTATATAGTTTTCTTTGTAATATTTCTCATTATACAACTAACTACTATGGCTACGTAGTTGTATAAGTGGGGGATGGACATGATAGTTCTTAGAAGCATCAATACTTGAAGTTTATTATAATGACCAAATTCTAAAGTTATGGTTTGCCTTCAACTTGCTTGGAGCATTTCAATTATGCACCAATTGTTCTCTCTGTGTAGTTAACTCTCAGACAAATTGAAAATCTTGCTGATATGTGCTTGATTGTAGTTAAATTTAGGGTTCTACTGCATTGTTGCTTTACTCTTTTTTCGTGGTTGAGTCTGCTTCAAAAAATTTAGTTTGATTTTAGAAAATTTTGCTTCTGCCTTGCCACCAACGCGTT